TACGGTGTGCAAAAAGTGTGACCCTGGAACTTGGGACTGGGAGCCGAAGCATGGATGATGGGAAATGGGGGTGGTGGCGCTGGTGGGTTGACGCTTGACAGAGAGGAGAGACCGAGAGAGAGGAACGGCAAGGAGGAGGAGGAGGATGAGTGGATGATGGAGAAGAGCCCAAAGCGACAATGGAGGTAGAGGCAGAAGCAGGGGAGCAAATGGGATGGCAAGCAGCAGATTTTCCTCAAGAGTCAAGACCCCCCGGCCAGCTAAGGTACGTCGTGGGGGGAAAAAAAAAAGAAGGTAGAGAAGATTCGGTGTATCGGTGAGAAAAGAGCGGACATGCGGGATGGGCTTGGCAGGCAACATGGCACATGCGTCCCGGCCAATCAGCAGACCGGGGGCCTTGCCTCTGTCCTTCCGGTTGGTAACCGGAGGACCCGCACCGGGGAGGCACTTCCAAACTTCCATTCCTTCCAGCACGCTTCACCAATGCACCAGCCAGCAGTGCGATGAGACGACCAGCATGTCCCAAGTTCCTTCTCATCCCTCCCACTATGCAGTACATTCTTTGGTTTTTTCTGTGGTCTGCGGTGGTCCATCTGTAAAGAAAGGCAAACCTTGCTTACTTTACAGACGCCTTCTTCCTCGTATTTTCAGCACTTTCCTCCACGGACACGCGCAAAATGCTACAAGCAAGTAAGATGGAGGCGGAAAGAAAAAACAAAAGAGTCAGCCGTTGCCACTCATCTTCCCGGTTAGGTTGTATTTTTGGCCTCTCATGTCTTGGAGAGATGACTGACTTCCAAGTTCCTCCCAGATTTTCCCCGCCGACCTCGTGTCAGTGTGTGAGGTGGTCGACCGAGTTAGCTTTGCTTTTGCAGTAAGTGCGTGTCAGTGACTCGGTCTCTCTCACTCTCTGTTATGCCCACCGCCCTTTTTTGTTTTTGCTTCTTGGAGCCACCCACGCTCCTAGCTTACCAGACCCCGGGAGGCCTTACCGTCCCATGTTTCTGAGTGGTCCGAAGACGCTAACGCGCGTTGAGATTAGGTGGACCAACAAGAACACCTAGAACAACTGGGGAACGACGGAACACAGAGCAAGCAACAACAGCACATGGGCACCCGACACACCACCAGGTTCTTGGATGACTCCTCAGCCCTCGTGCCCTGCCGGTTGGCTCCATTCTGCTCACCGCGTGTTTCCTGAACGATGCCACAGACGCCTTTTGCGGCTTGCCATCCGTATCCGTACCCGACCCCCAAGATTCCAACCCCCAACCCTCGTCACCATTCATCACAAAAGGCCAGAGTCGGTCCCTCTTCTTACTCAGAAAGTACGGATAGACTTGGAGTGATGGAGCCTTGAGCCACGCAGCAAGGGGCAGGGCACCCATCCATCACTGGGCACCTGATCCTCTAGATCTCTCGGTTCCAGAATACCAGCTGTTCGCTCACAATGTCGCCAATGCATGCGGGCGGGGAAACCAAGAGGACTCTTTGGGGAGAGCTTCCAGGCACCTTGCATGGATATCGAATGTAGTGACGTGTGGTACGGTAACATTGTCGGTCGGCAGCGGGCAGAGATGCAGCAGACTCACCACCTCCTCGATCAGTGACAACAACCACAACAGCCTAACGAGAGAGAGAGAGAGCAGAAACGTCGAGAGGACCGCAAGTATCATTACCTTGGCACACTTGGATACCTAACAACCTCGGAGGTTTACCCACACGCTATACGATGGAGGGACGGATAGGTAGGTAGAGGTAGGTGCCGCTTGGGAAACGTCGGCCGCTTCGAATGGTTCCCCCACCGCTAGACATCCTAGGGCCAGGAACGGATACAATGGACGTGGACTGATGCATCACGGCATCTAAATACCAATACCTGATCCCAAGGCGCTGGGCCGTGAAAACGCACCAACAACCCACGGTGCCACAGTACAATACCTACCTGCCCGCGCAGGCGCACACACCATCTGACGGGTTTCCTCTCCGTGTCTCTCTAGTCTTCACACCTTCAACTCCGGAGCTCCATAAAAGAGTCAAGCCTCAACTAGAGGGGAGGAATCTGCTAGGATGTCCGGGCAAGCCACACTTAACCCACCAAGTTTTCCGTCCGGTCTTCGGCAGATCCTGCCGGCGGTCCTGCAGGGAGAAGTCCGATCCGGGACCTGACAGAAGCCAAAAAATATTACCAGTCTATACCACCACACACACACACATACGCACCCAAACTGCAATCCCACGCCAACAGCTGCCGCGACCAGATCCGAGGGCAACCATTCGCAACTTCCGGGGTCCGTTCCCCCCTCCCCCCAATATCCACTCCGTCACAGCGCCGTGTTCCCGATCCCCCTTTAATTATAACGCAATTGATAACGACGCATATCTATTCCCCTCCTCCTCCCCTCCCCACACCTATGTTGGCCTCCGGTGTGCGGAATGTAGCTCGACGGCCCGGCTGCTGCTGTTGCTGCCGAATATCCCCCTTCTCAGCCTTCGCCACCGCCGCCGTCGCCGGTACTACAGCTTCCGCAAGCTTCAATCTCTCCCGTCCCGTATCCCGACCCTTTGCTGCCGCGCGCGCATCGCAATCCGCAAGAATGGCTTCAACAACGACATCCCTCCCAAGGATCCCTCTCTTCGAGGCCATTTCCCAACATGACCCCGAGTCCACGGCTGTAATTCACTCCTTGTCCGGCCGCCGTTTCAAGTACGGAGAGCTCCTGGGCGACGTCCGCCGCACGCGGAACAAGCTCTTAGACTCAGCGGGCAAGTCAGATCTCAATGGCGAGCGCATCGCATTCTTGGTAGAGAACAGTTACGACTATGTAGGTAAGCCATGTCGCATACCCCTTACACAACAGCTCTTAGACTCCTTTGGCTGTGGCCCAAACAATGCGCCTCGATTCTAACACTCTCTTGATTTCTAGTGACCCTCCTCGCTGCCTTTGCCGCGCGATCTATCGCCGTACCTCTTTCTCCAGCCTTCCCCGCCGCCGAGCTCCAGTATATCCTAAATCAGAGTGAAGCGTCATTGCTCGTGTCTTCGGCCAAGTTCGCCGCAAAAACAAGGGAGGTTCTCGCTACAGAGCTCCTCTCAAGCCCGACGCAAGTCGAACTCCAGAAGCACCTCGGTGGCAGCGTGCATGAGCAAGTTGAACTGGACAATTCCGATGCCGACGGCGCAGGCATGATGCTCTACACTTCAGGCACCACCAACCGACCGGTTCGTTGCTCCCTTTCTGAATTCGAGTGGCAAGCTCCGAACATGATCACTAATCCTCCACCTTAGAAAGGCGTCCTTCTTCCCCAGTCCGTCCTCACGGCGCAATCCAAATCCCTAATCGAAGCATGGAACTACACCCCGGCCGACCACCTCCTCCACGTTCTCCCACTACACCACATCCACGGCACGGTCAATGCTGTTCTCACGCCGCTCCTGTCAGGCTCAACGATCGAGTTCATGTTCCCCTTTAACGCCGACGCGGTCTGGAAGCGCCTCGCCGCGCCCTACATCACCTCCAACGGCACAAATGGTGTAAACGGTACCAACGGTACCAACGGGGTCAACGGGACTAATGGCACAAATGGGACACACAAGAACATCGCAAAGGAGAAGATCACCTTCTTCACCGTCGTGCCAACAGTCTATTCCCGTCTCCTCGCAACCCACAAACTCCTCCCCCTCGACCCCGCCGAGCCCACACGAGAAGCCGTCTCTCCGCGCAATATGCGCCTCGCCATCTCCGGCTCAGCCGCCCTCCCGACGCCCATCAAGGAGGCCTGGAAGACCTTGTCCAAGGGCAACGTCCTCCTCGAACGCTACGGCATGACGGAGGTCGGCATGGCCCTCTCCTGCGGTCTCGATTTCGCCGACCGCGTCGACGGCAGCGTCGGCTGGCCCTTGCCCGGCGTCGAAGCCCGCCTCGTCGACATGGACACCGGCCTGGTCATCCCTCCCGGCGAAGACGTCGACCCCAAAACGGGCCGCGAGCGCTCCGGCGAAATCCAGCTCCGAGGTCCCACAATCTTTAAAGAGTACTGGCGCAACCCCGAGGCGACAGCCAAGGAGTTCGTCGAAGGCGAGGACGGCAAGGGAAAATGGTTCAAGACGGGCGACGTCGCCGTCCGGAGACCGGTCCCGAACGCGGGGCTCAACGCCGCGCAGGCGTCATGGGCCAAGGGCGACATGTACTTTATCCAGGGCCGCAAGAGCGCCGACATCATCAAGACGGGCGGCGAAAAGGTCAGCGCCCTCGAGGTCGAGCGCGAGCTGCTCTCCCTCCCTGAGGTGGCCGAGGCCGCCGTCGTCTCCGTCCCCTCGGGCAAGTGGGGCTCCAAGGTCGGCGCCGTCGTCATCCTCAACACGGACGTCGTCCCACACTGGTCCCCGATGGCGATGCGAAGGGCTCTCCGGGATCGGCTCGTCAACTACAAGATTCCCCAGGTGCTCAAGGTCGTCAACCACATCCCGCGCAACGCCATGGGCAAGATCAACAAGAAGCAACTGGTCCAGGCTGTCTTTGAGGACCAGTTTAGCGGTGATGAATTGTAAGAATAAGCAGCTACTGGTGCGTGGATACTGCTCCCCTCACCTCACAATATGACATACACATATACCTGTTTGACTAGGACATGGCGGAATGCTGCATAGAATTTAGATAAAATATATACCTTATTGAGCATCGACCCCCTCACTGTGTACCCTTTACGAAGTGAGATTGTAGTGATGAGATATAACTCCCAAGACAATGTCCTGTTGCGGAGAAGCATAATTAACAACCTTCATTTCATAAAGGGTGCGTGCACCAGGGCATTCTGGCCTAAACCTAGGTATCTATTCCGGATATTTCGCATCCGCCTATGTACTATCGATCATGGCCGTCTAGAAGTTCCATAAAACCCATTGATCTCTTTTTTCGTTCTCAGCAAACGCCTTCGTCGAGCTCCAAGGACTGTCATAAGAGAGAACTTTTTCCGCCCCAGAGATGCGTTATCATCGATGCATAGCGTAGCATTGCCCCCGTATTCCCCCCACTGGCATCAGGCAAAAAATAAAAAATAAAAAGAAGTCGGCTGAGAAAGTGCAACGAGAAGTGATGCCGTGCAGACGGAAGTCGGCCTTCTCGATTGGTAGTGGAGCCCATAGGTTCCAATAAAATGCGTTGGTGAGCATGTGGTGCAAGCTTGTGTAATTCGTTTCTGTGGTTTTTTCAGAGGCTGTGTCCATCGCTTTAGACAGTGTGCTTGGCCTTTGCACGGCTGCTTCCGCTGTGTGCGCTGTCCGTGTGGCCGGAGAACTCGACAACCTCGTTGGCGGGGAGGTTCAGGATGTCCTTGAAGCGCTTGCCGATGTTCAGGAGGATGTCACGGCCCTTATCCTGCGAGCGTCCCTTGCCACCAGCCACATCTCCGTCACCACGGCCAGGAATGCTCTTGCCAATGGTACGGGTCCAGACACCGATACGGAAGAAAGCCTTGCGGACGTTGACGACAACACCCATGACCTCTCCGTCGTCCTCAGCCTCAAGGGTCTCGCCAATAGCGGCCAACATGACGTGAAGCCAGAGATCGTCGATGGGGATGCTGCGCTTCTCCTTGAATTGGTAGGACCACTTGCCGCCGTGCTTGTTCTGGGCATCCTCCCACTCGGGGCGAACGCCGGCCTTGAAGAGATGGTAGTCGGACTTGAGGGCAAGCTCGGAGACGGGGGCGATGTTGTTCTGGTCAATGGTTAGCGAGCGATAAGAGGGGCCGCGGGGAAGGAAGGTGCACGTACATAGACACCCCAAAACTCCTCGACTGAGTTGAAGGTGATGACCTCCTTCAGAAGGTCATTCCAGTTGTCGCCCTACTCCACGTTAATGTCTGGCCACTTGCCTTTCTCAATCGGAATAGACGAACCTTTCCACTGGGGGGCTTAGTGAACCAGAGAGTCCACTTGTTCTGCAGAGGGTGCTTGACGTTGAAGTTCTCCTTGTCGTGGAAAACGGTAACAGGCTTCTCCGAGTCGTTCTCCTTGGTCTCGCTCTTCTCACCGCCCTCGGGGGAGATGGGAATGGTGGAGAGGTCGACCTGCTGGTCGGGGTTCGTAGGTGTTTGCACAGAAGTCGCCATCGCGAACGGATTTGTTGTGGTGTTTTCGGGCTGATTACGGATCGGACCGATGAGGGGTAGAATAGGTTGTCAGAGGTGCTGGGGAACAATCTCTGGAGGAAAAGGCGAGTTAGGCTATCTCGGAGGTTGAAGAAGCCAAAGTAAAAAGAGGTCGCTGGTCGCGGTTGTAAGGTGGAAGAGTTGGAAAGTGGGAGGGTTCCGCACGAGAGTGGCTGAAGGTGGTGGTGACGACGGTTGCTCGCTTCACTATTGGGAAAGTGCTGGAGGGCGATTGCTTCCTACCAGGTATTCGGATGTGGGGGAGATTCCGACGTTGCGCCAGGCAAGTCAGCAAGGATCGGACAGGGCGGATTAGAGGAAAGATTAGAACGAGCGGTGACGTTCTGTTTTTTTCGTGGGGAGACGACGAGGTCGAGAATTGGGAAGTTGCGATGGGTTTTGCACTTTGCGAGGGATTGCGCGCAGCAAACAGAAGTCTGAGTCTGCGAGCGAGAGAGCCTTTCCAGTCGCAAAAAAATGCCCAAGCGGGCTTGGCCAACGGGAGGGGAGCAAGACGGTGGAAAAGTGGGGTGTAGCAAGGTTTACCTCAGTACCTTCTTGGTGGGTGAGGCCTAGGTTTTTTTTTATTTTTTGCGCAGGGCACCTCACAATTACGACCTAGCACAACTGCCACACCAAGCACGTAAGGCAGATGCCCACCCACTCAGTGAGGTGCGGTCCCGGGGTGCTAGTTAGGGCGAAGGAAAGCCCCCGACATCAGTGGGATTCTAGGTGAGCCCGGGGCCCGTTGACGGTTGCCCAAGGTGAGAGCGGAGGCGAGGTGAGCCTAGCCTGATGGATACCGTGCCGTCACCTCAGGTTCCTCAAGAAGCGAAGGTCAAGAATAATCCAGGGCAAGGTCAGTCTGGTCCCATTCAAGACCAGGTATGCGGAACTTTAAGCAGCCCAGTGGATGTCAATTGCTCCAATAGCAGCACTTGTCAGCCTACAAACCTTGTAACTCCGTTCCGTGTCGTGTCGTGAGGCTTGTTGAATGTCTGTCTTCCACGCCATGCAATCCGTTTCGCCAGTGTTGAGTTGCTTTTCTTCACTCCTGTCTTTTCAAGACTAGCGGTCTCTAATAACAGTATGAGACTGTTCATGTTGACTTTTAGCTTACGTTGCCCGTCGTTGCTCAAGGCTGATAAGTCAGATAACTTTTCTTTCCTGCCTTCAGATTCACCCATGTCCAACAGCTCAGACGAAGCTTCCGACTCCTAGGCGTGTGCTTGCTCCATTTCTGCTCCTGTCATCCGGATTGTTCCTTCTAGTTCCTGTTTCTAATCCTCATCCCTCTACCACCTGTTTGCAGCCTTTTGCAGTTGTGACGGTCCTCTCCGTACTCGGCCTGAACCGAGCGTCGCCTCCTGACCCCTTCTCCTTGCCCCTTCCTACGCCAGAAGACACATCCTTGTTTCGACATCACGCTTTTATCTGGCCTTGAAGCACCGCCATCATATTTCTGGCTTCAACCTGGGGGAGACCTTTCCAGAAGCTTTCCCAAGTCTCTTCCGTCGCCAATTACAGCCAATAAATTGAACTGCTATTGTTTCTTATGAGGCTCCCACCCCTCTCGCAATACGTGACCTGCGAATGAGGTGGCCTGAACAAAATTTCGTCATCTTGAGTCAAACGACACGCAAGCTAGGCATCTTTCCCATCATCCTCTACCACCCTCTTCTGCACTCAAAAACTCAAGCGAGTCGAGCTCGGCTTGAGCGGTGATGGCTCTGGGGTTCGTTTCGGCCAGGCCGCTCTGCTCGTTTCAGTCATTGCACACTCCGCCCCACATGCATCGAGGCTCTATTGACATCGTCTCAATGAATAGAGGTACGGTGATTCTGGAAGAGCTGCATTGTGCTCCTGGACTTGAGTGAAAGAGACAGGATACTTGTTCTGCTTACTCTTATGCTTACCCATTACACCGTCGGCCAAGAGCTAGGATGGGAATGCAGGGTGAAAGAAGGATAAGCTGCCTTTGTTCCGTTGCGTAGCTCTCAGGCGCTACATACATCGCCTGTACCTCGTTGGAATTTCTATATTAGGTCCACGCCATCAGATGCCAGCATGTTGGAGACAAACAATAATGGCATCGATGATAATGACCGAGTGTTCTTTGTCACGCACCCTCCCTTGAATCCTCGCAAGGACGGCAACCGAAGCTATGGAACACAGCGGCCCATTTAGGTTGCAGAGCATGCTCGTATGGCAAGGCACTTGAACAAGCAGCGTGATACTCATAAAATCGAGGCGGCGCTGCGTGAGACGCGGTCGCGATGTACAGATAGCTGATCATCAAAGGCGATATCGTTTCTCGAGCAACCCATCCCAAATTGGCAGTTTTCGACCATCTAGAATTTCGTCGACAGATCCATATCCACCCATCGAACTTCTCGAGCAACATATAACGTTTGAATCGATCCTCAAAGCCCTAAAGATGGCACCAACGTATCCGAGTTCGCATGGTCCGAACTGTAGCGAGGCTTGCAGTTCGACGGCGCAACAGAATAGGAAGAACATGAAAGCAAATCCATCAGCAACCAGAGCATTTGCGTCCAAGGACCTCAAAGAATTGAAAGGATTTTGCCCCGAACGACTCGTCCTGCAATGGGGCCTTCCACGTTCTTCGCTTACAGACGACTTCTTTACGCGTCACTATGCCGCCATCATATCAAATATCAATCTCCACGCCAAGCAAATTTTCGAAGTCGGCGATGTTCCGCCTCCAGGACCCGTCTGGTCCGTGGTCACTGGCGACCAGAGTTCGGAGTTGGAACGTACTATCGAGAAAGTTGCCCGGCCAGATCCGCGAGATAAGAGTCCTTGGGATGATCTGATTGCCTGCGACTACAAACGAATACTCGTCATGAGGGCCTTCTTCTTGAAGCTTTTTGAGGAGCAAATATTATCACTTCAGCTATTTGGCGCAGACAACCAACAGCGGCTTTCACTACTCCATCAAGACAAGCAGTTCATGAGGCACGAAGGTTGATTTTCCCCCTGTATCCAAGAATCCACGAACAAGACACAGCAACTGATTGCCTACTAGGTTTCAGGCGATCGGACCTGAGAGCGAAAACGGTGGAAATGCTATTGAAAGAGAATCATGGCCTGCCACCTCTGTTTTGGAAGCAAGTGGACTATTATACTATGAAGGCCTTCTTGCTCATAAGGCCAATTCTGACCTGGGTGAGGATGACCTGGCCCGAGAACGGCCCGAACCCGTCTATTCGGTCAATCTTCCAGATGATTCACCACGACGTGGCCTACGCGGCTTGGCTTTCCGTCAACATTCGTCTGTCTCCCGAGGTTCTTCACTTTGAATGGCGTGAGCCCGACGAACTCTATGTGCCGGGCGACTTTGAGATCCCTGATCCAGGAGTACTGCCAATACCGTCCAACGCCTTACTGAGCCCAACGTCTCATGGGTTTGTCGCTTCGACGAGTCGATTCAGAGAACCGCCGATAGAACCACCGTTGTCGAGAGTCCTGATTTCCTTCGTCCCTGTCGTTCAGAGAATCTCGCTCGTCGAGGGTGCCAATGGAGAAGAGCCCATTGGTAGCCAGAGGAGAAGGTTGCTGGAGTCTCGGACGGCCTACTATACCCTCTGGCGCCACACTGGTGAGGTTGACCCATCGCTGCGCTCGCTTGTCGACCACGCATGTGGGATGAGGCGACCTAAACCGACATACTTTTCTGTGATCGTCCGTCCGTTATTCTGGCAGCTTCTGATGTACGCTTTGCTCATTCAGCTCCTGAGATACGTCTATCAACTGCGGGACGAATACAGCAGGCGGAGCCATGAGGGTGGGGCGGGCTCTGCATATGATCCGTCGTCCGGTCGTGCTGGGACCGATCAGGGTGTTTAGAAATTTGGTTTTACCAGGCAGCTTTGACTGGGCCTGGAGGGATGAATTTTCGGCGATGATGGCGTGGCTTGTACGTGAGGATCAGGCGGGCTTTCGCCTGAGTCGACAGCTAAGTGAGCAATAGAATGTAAATTCCTTACCAAATTTCACTCACAGAGGGAGAGTCATGTAAGCTGTTGTTGTTGATTTATGGCAACATTGAGGAGGTTTATGAAGAGGATCACTGCAAGCTTGTAATGACACACTCTCTTGAGGATCATGAACAAGAAAGACTGAAGATGATGATCCCAGGGGCACTCTAGTCACCTCACTGAGCCAGCACGTCATCCAACAAACCAAAAATAGACATCCGGGCTCATCAAAAGACAGATACGGCAAAAGAATTGCGTCGAGGGGGAATCGAACCCCCGGCTCCCCGACGCTGCTTGATGGCAACGGAGAATTTTACCACTAAACCATCGACGCAGATGATCAGATATCCGGTTATCGAAGCCGGACGAGCTGGTTGGGACTATTGCGACGAGAAGGCAAGTATATTCCAAAGCGGGCGTATGGCGGTTGTGTGTGGGGAGCGAGGGTTCGTGCATGAGGGTTTCGGTGGGCTCGCGAGTTGCGGTTCCCGGGGCGACTGATAGTTGCAAGCGGCGGCGGCGGCTCCACCCGCCTGCAACTTTGAAAGTGTTGAAAAAATGTCCGACAAGAGCAGATTGCCGCGGTTAGAAAGACAAAAGGTACGCAAGAGGGATGCTTAGATTCAATCTCGGCCGACATTCTCGGGACATTGTCGGGTTGCTTCTCTGCGAGAGAGAGGTCGGCCGTTCGTCTGAATGGGCAAGCGAAAGCCAATCGTTTGGCAGGCATTGGCAAGTTGGGAAGGACCCCTCCAGGAACTCTCTGAGGGGCAACGAAATACACGTGCATGGGGACCTGAGTTGGGGACGGTATCATGGCCAAAAAAAAAAAGAGGGATACTCTTTTTCTGGCTGGGCAACCAACCGACTTCGGGGAGCCCGACATATCTTGCATGAAGGTCCTCTTTGGCCGAGCAGTCACGAGACTGAAAACAGTTGAGCAGGTAACCACAATCATGGCAACTTGAGACTGATTTGCCGCTGAGAGGAAGGGGTTTCCCGTGGGATTGCCACAGAAAGCCGGGAGTCCACTGGTAGGCATCTAGGTTGCTTGTCCAAGTCGAGTCAGGCGGTGAGAAAAGCAATGTCATGGAACAAGTACTTGCAAATGGTGCTAAGCGCCGGTACCTGCACGAGGGAGGACGAGTAGTAGTAAGGCAAGCTCAACAAGGCATGTGGACGAGGGGGGGAGGTGTTGCAGGTTGTTAAAAGTCAGGATGGGTACGGAGTATTTTGGTCTTAATGACTGCGTTCTTTGTCTGGGTTAGCAAACTATTACTTGAAGCCAAAGAAGACAATGTCAACTTTTGTTAGGTACTTTTGCAAAGTACCGAAATACAGCCAGACACCATCAAGAGGCTCTCAAACAGTGTCCCGAGTCGGGTGCAGAGCAGGTGGCTGCAACCTGCAGTTAACTCAACTTCGGCTAGGCACCTTCCTCAACTCTCAGTGACAGAGAGAGTGGCAGTAAGCGAGAAAATGGCGGGCCAGGGTGCGATAAGATAAGAGACAGCCCACCAGCAAGGGCCACAGCGGGATGAAATGGCAAAAAAATTGCTTCGCCGCCCTCGAATCTCTCGAATTTTTGTGGCATGGCCCGCGCGCTAGTAGCACGGTCTCAGCGCTGGAGGGGGTAGGTGGTCGAGGGTGGTCGTGGGTGGTTGGTGGGGCTAGGGGGACCCAGAAAAAAAGTCGAAATTGATTTTTTTTTTCGGCCTTCACAAAAATCCTGTGTTGAGCGACTGGAGCGAGAGAAATTCTTCTTGAAAGGACCCCACGTCGCCCGCCCGCCCTCCTTCACATATCTTTCTCCTCCGCGCAAACCTCCCAACCTTCAATCCTCCCCCCTCCCCCATTCACACAGGCCGTTTTTTTGTCTTTGTGCATATCAAATCTCTCAAAATGGCGGACGAGGTCTACGATGGTGCCATTGGCATTGACTTGGGTGAGTCTTTATTTTCCTGTTGCTGATGGATGATGCTCTTTTTCTTTTTGAGAGGGGTGTTATTTTGTGGCGATACCGGTCGCCGCTCAACTTTGAGGGGTTCGGTCACTTCAGATATCACGAACAATATCACGTCCGCCAACGCTGCAAAATATCGTCAAACATCAACACACTATCACGGAAGGAGAGACTCGAGGAGGACTTTTACAATTATCGAAAGAACATGTCAGGCTAACCGAGTCCTCTCATCACAGGAACTACCTACTCTTGCGTTGCCACGTACGAGGGTACCAATGTCGAAATCATTGCCAACGAGCAGGGTTCGTTCACCACGCCCTCTTTCGTCTCCTTCACCGACAAGGAGCGTCTGATCGGTGAGGCCGCCAAGAACCAGGCTGCCATGAACCCCGTCAACACCGTCTTCGATGTCAAGTGAGTAGCCTCGCCGTTTTCCCCGTCCGCTGTTGCTCCGTGGTTCCTACCTGGGCCGGGGTGGGTGAGAATTTTCCCCGCCCAAGGAGGGGTAATCCGGAGCAATAGCAGACAGCGAGAAAAAAAAATACACAACTACAAATCGCTGACAACGCATTCTTTGATAGGCGTCTCATCGGTCGCCGCTTCGATGACCCCACCGTCAAGAAGGACATCGAGTCCTGGCCCTTCAAGGTCGTCGACGAGGGTGGCAACCCCAAGGTCCAGGTCGAGTACCTCAACGAGACCAAGACCTTCTCCCCCCAGGAGGTTTCCTCCATGGTCCTCCTCAAGGTGCGTTTTGCTCTGGTGATGAGACCGGAAACAAAACAGCTGGCTATCACATATCTTTGTCAACGCGCAGCATGCTGACCCCCTCAACAGATGAAGGAGATTGCCGAGGTCAAGCTTGGCAAGAAGGTCGAGAAGGCCGTCATCACCGTCCCTGCCTACTTCAACGACAACCAGCGTCAGGCCACCAAGGACGCCGGTGCCATCGCCGGTCTTAACGTCCTCCGTATCATCAACGAGCCCACCGCTGCCGCCATTGCCTACGGTCTTGGTGCCGGCAAGTCTGGCAAGGAGCGCAACGTTCTCATCTACGACTTGGGTGGTGGTACTTTCGATGTCTCCCTCCTTAACATCCAGGGCGGTGTCTTCACCGTCAAGGCCACCGCTGGTGACACCCACTTGGGTGGTCAGGATTTCGATACCAACCTTCTTGACCACTGCAAGAAGGACTTCCAGCGCAAGACCAAGAAGGACCTCTCTGGCGACCCCCGTGCCCTCCGTCGTCTCCGCACTGCTTGCGAGCGTGCCAAGCGTACCCTTTCCAGCGGTGCCCAGACCACCATTGAGATCGACTCTCTCTTCGATGGCGAGGACTACACCACCCAGATCACTCGTGCTCGTTTCGAGGACCTGAACGCCAAGGCTTTCAACGGTACCCTCGAGCCCGTTGCCCAGGTTCTCAAGGATGCCTCCATGGAGAAGTCCGGCGTTGACGAGATCGTCCTCGTTGGTGGCTCCACCCGTATCCCCCGCATTCAGAAGCTTCTGTCCGAGTTCTTCGACGGCAAGAAGCTCGAGAAGAGCATCAACCCCGATGAGGCCGTCGCCTACGGTGCCGCCGTCCAGGCCGGTATCCTCTCCGGAAAGGCCACCTCCGCCGAGACCGCCGACCTTCTCCTGCTCGACGTCTGCCCCCTGTCCCTTGGTGTCGCCATGGAGGGTAACATCTTCGCTCCCGTCGTCACTCGCGGGCAAAACGTACCTTGTCTCAAGAAGGAATGTAACCCTCATTTTCCTTTTCCGTTTTTTGAGTTCGTTGATTTTTCTCGATTTTTGATGTTTTCGCCTGTCCGCGACTATCGTGGTAGTGGGCGCTCTGTTGGCGCTAACGCCTTCTTCATCCGTGGCAGTGCCTTCCTTCCATGCGTGAATTGCATGGCAGGAGGAGAGCACTCGTTCCTTCCGCATTCTATTGACCCGCTGTAAAGATCAAAAACTAACATCCCCTCAGAGAACCTTCACCACTGTTGCCGACAACCAGCAGACCGTTCAGTTCCCCGTCTACCAGGGTGAGCGTGTCAACTGCGAGGACAACACCTCCCTGGGTGAATTCACTCTTGCTCCCATTCCTCCCATGAGAGCCGGTGAGGCCGTCCTTGAGGTCGTCTTCGAGGTCGATGTCAACGGTATCCTCAAGGTCACCGCCACCGAGAAGACCTCCGGACGCAGCGCCAACATCACCATCTCCAACTCTGTCGGCAAGCTCTCTTCCTCCGAGATTGAGAACATGATCAACGGTTAGTTCATTTCGACCATTTCTTCAGGATACAGAATGCTAATCCCTCCCTAGACGCCGAGAAGTTCAAGACCAACGATGAGGCTTTCAGCAAGCGCTTCGAGGCCAAGCAGCAGCTTGAGTCCTACATTGGCCGTGTTGAGGAGATCATCTCCGACCCCACGCTGTCCCTCAAGCTCAAGCGTGGCCAGAAGGACAAGATCGAGCAGCAGGTCTCCGAGGCCATGGCTGCCCTCGAGATCACCGACAGCGGTGCCGACGAGCTGAAGAAGCAGGAGCTCGCTCTCAAGCGTCTCGTGACCAAGGCTATGTCCTCCCGATAAATGCTTCAAAACATGAGAGAAAGATCTCTAGTGTTTTGTTCGCGCGGAGGATGTTTACGGCTTTGATGAGGCCGCTTCAATGCGGTGTATCTGGTTCAACTTTCTTGCGTTTGGGTGGCCGAGCAGATTACGGCCAGGCAGGATGCGAATAATTTGGGTCAGGTGATATCAAAAGGCACTTAAAAGTTCCTCCTTTCTTCCCGCCGCCTTCCCCATATACCTCCACAACCCCTTCACACACACACACGACACGACACTGGCATGACTCTCGGGCGAGTATGAATGCCTACCAGGTGCCGTCTTCTACGGCTTTCATAGAACTGTAGAAAGGATCAGGGCGACATGAAATGAAATTACGTCTTACTTCAACTTGGTTCGATATGGCGAATGATACGATGTGATGTCGACATGACGTGAACGCTGCCAACAAATTTGCGGATGAGGTCTACTGGTCACGACATTGCCATCGCCATCCCCTTTACTATCCTTGTCCTCATTGATGTCCTCATCGGTCACCTCGTTGGTGTTCCCATTGGTGTTGTTATCAACTGCCAACATCGCCGGTGGTTTAATCAGAAGTGAATATTCGTCGAGATAATGCCTGTTGGAGATGACTACTAAAGCAAGGTATTGTCCCCACAGCCGCAACTATAGCACGACTGGCCACAACTAGCCACTACTGTCGCGTTTCGTTCCGTTTGTGTAACTACGCTCTCTCCAGACAGAACTCTCCCTTTTCTGAGATCACACCAGTACCGTCGCCGCCACAATGTCTCTGTGTATGTGTGGCGTCGCGGGGCGTTTGCCCACATTAGACTTAGCAACGCAAGCTTGACATTACACTGAGTCCGTTGCGCACTTCATGGAAAGTCTTTCAAAAGGCGCCGTAGGCTTCAGTATGGTCTCGTATAACGTGGGGTCGGTTTCCTACACTGGGTGGTTGAGGAAAGCGCTCCGGCGATTGGGCCTTATAACAGACGAGCTGGTAGTATGTGGGTTGCTAAACTTGTCATTGAGTTCAATGTCTTGGCTATGGACGTCAGTCGACGACTACTGCTTGGTGGCATCGGACAGCTCAGAAAAGTCCTTTAGTTCAACTCGTCTTATTGATGTCATCTCCCTCACGTGGGTGCTGGATTTGCCTAGACCACGCTTCTCTCAGAGAAGATGCGCTGTGAGTGCGTCTAGCTCCAACGAGAATCCGCCGCAGAAAGTAGTTCAAGGTCCGGATAGAGCAGCCCTAATGCCTTCCCGTCGGACCCTCCACGAGGAAGCATATCCCCAGAACCTTGGTCAGGACAAATTTCGTCTCGCATACCCGCCGGAACCCCGCTACATATCACTTGATACATCTAGATGGATACGCTCTATCGTACATTCCACCACAGATCCTTTGAATTACGACCAAGAAAGAATGTGTGCCGGGGCAGGACGTCTCTTATTCCTGTCGTCTATGGGCTGAGCACGTCGATGCTCGGGCATCGCGCAAGTCAAGCTGTACGTGGACAAACAAGTTTGAAGGATGCCCGGATCTGGCGGATAACAAATGGCGAACGGGCATTTGTAGCGCACGCAGGACTTGGTCACCGATCGGTGAAAATTGATGTATGGAAGTGGTGGTATGCAGACAAGTATTCGAAGAGGGCAGCGAATTACTCGTCTAAACTGACGAATAGTGTGACAGTGCAGGTCTAGAAACTTCTGACGGCAGTGCGGACTCGGATTATCTGGTATGAGTCCCAGGTTACATCCTACCATGAACGGAGGCTCTCACGCGGTTGAAGACGCTCGAATGTGTGTGGCAGCCTATCAATTTCGACCAATGTCCAACTTCTCTTCATACCCTCTCCGATACTAGTAGACTGGCTGTAACAAATCTCGATCATAAATTCCCATGCGCTATAACTGACAAGACTATTCACGAGAACTTGTAGGCTGGTAGATCAGAAATAAGAACGGATGTGGTCAACAGCCGAGCCATTCCAGCCCAGGGGCGCTTTCCTCAGAATATCAATGCAAGATCTGATTCCATACGTAGATCACCATAGCCTACCTAGATCGGAGAGGTGATGCTACCTGTAGAATTCTAGGTAGACCAGTCCATGCCTCAGGCGACACAGGAAGGAGCATAGGGAATAGTAATGCTTCTTCTGTCACCGACCACGAGTTGAGATGCTTGATCGGGTGACTGCCTCGGTGATGCTCCCGAGGCTTTCAGGCGGCGGTGTTTTGATTCATCATGTGGCCAACGAATTTTTTTCTTCTTTTGTTTTTCTCTTTTTTTATTTGTTCTTACAAAGAGAAGGTGCGAAGGGGATGTCGGTATATTGGCACGTTGAAATAGCGAGAATATACCGTCTGGACAGAGCTAACATCGCTAGATTTGATTAGATCGATTTCTAATAGAAGAATGTGCTATGGTCCAGAAGAATGTTTCTTGCACCTCGTCCCCAATGTTTGTTGCATCGACGCCGTCTTACACCACGATGTGTTGCTCAAATACTCCACGCTCATCCGAAGTGTAGTGCTCTTCCACCTTAAGAGGACAACAGATGAGGGGATTGTATCTATTTAGACTGCCTCGCCGTAGGCACCCTACCTATCTCAGCTACATCAATGACATGCCACAGAAGATGGTGTGAAGTCGAAATAGAACTGACCAGGGCAGAGGTACGATGGCATGGAGTTCGATCGCCACAGTGGGGCTGAGTCACCTCGCAGCCAATCACGTAATCAGCAACCCCACCTTCTGCCAGTCCCGGTGTCACTACTACGCTCATTCCTCATATACACCACAGCAGCATCTGAATACTTAGTTCCTTGCAGATCTAATCTGATGGAAGACTTTCCTTCCAGAAGTCTTTCATGAGGTTCCAGGACATCCCCTGCTGATCTTTACTTGCCACCGACCATGTCGGGAACCCGCCAAGATGGCCTCCCGCACCTTCGACCAGTTCTTTGACCTTCCCGTCGAGATCCGGGACCAAATCATATCCTACCTCTGCGTACTCCCAAATCCAATCCAGATAGGTCCCACAGAATTCTCCGAGATCCCCTTCCCGCACGACCTGCTCCTCTCTCACCCGCTCCTCTACGCCGCCGGCTCCGCCCTCTTCTACGAACAGAACCGCTTCATCCTCAACCTCCAAACGGGGCCCCGCGCCGCCGTCGAGCGCGCCATCTGCGACGGCGGCAGCCCCTGGCTTCTTGGTAATCCCCAGGCCCGCCGCCGCGTAAAGCACCTCGAGCTCTCGCCGGGCCGCCTAGGCAACGTCTTCCAGACCCACGTCTCCCCGGCCGTGGCCGACATGATTCTGAACGGTTCCCTACGGCATCTCAGGCTCGTGCTGTATCCGACGAGCGCCGACAAGATTGTCTTCAACCAGAGTGCCTTTGACGCCCAGTCGCGGAGGGCCGCCATTACGCGGCGTGACGACGCCTTTGCCCACTCCAGACCGTTTCAGGCTCTGTTGCGGCTGCTGGCTGATCCGGACTTGGAGACGGCCGACCTCTACGTCGACCCTATTCATCGCGACTTTTGGTGTGAGTTCCACGAGGGTGTGGCCTGCTGCAAGGGACAGCGGAAGGGGCCGTGGCAGCTGATCCCGATTAACTGGAGGAGGCTTGCCGCTAGCTATGGCCAGGATCACGAGCTCAGTATCGTTCGGGTGGTGGTCTGATTGCTCAGTGGCTGTTTCGGGAATCCTATGTTCATGACTTGGAAGAGTATGGCGGCTAGGATCGTGTGTAGTCATTCAATGCAAAAGCCCAAAGGCCTTGTGCTTGCTGGAGCTCTCATGACCATTTGAAGTATACGATCTTCGAAGCCTCGATTAGGCCAAGGTTCTATCTTCCAGTACAGAGAAATCGCTGAGCACATCTATCCACGGTCTAAAGTGCACCAAAGAAATTGAAGACTACCTTCAGGCAGTAATCAAAGAAGAAAGAGGCAAAAACAACAGGAGCCGACCGAGAATTGAACGCCGGAGTCCTGAAGAGTACGGAGCATCACGCACACAGTCAGCACTTCACGGCTTTCACCACTCGGTCACCAGGCCCGATATTTGTTGTTAGAATGGGAAGGGAATAGGCTGCCTATAATGCCTACGGCTTCCAATATTGAGATTGAGGGAGGACAAAAGAAGAATAGGAAAGGGACTGGGATATACACCCTTGACGCAGGCAACATGGTGAGCGGCCCATCTGGACCGGTGTAAAATTGGGTTTTCCACGTGACGACATCCGTTTTCTCACCACATCCCAATAGTCTGCAGAGCCTTCTTTCGATCTCTTGCTTATTCTGAGTACTGGAAGCGAGTGATTCGGCTACCGAGAATGCAAAATTCTGGCGGGGATACTTCCAGTCAGCAAATGCTTGCAAATAACCTCTCCATAGCCACAACAGTACCTGTCGAAGGATCTGGCCGCGCAGGATGCTGCAAAGATGTGGATCTTATTGATATCCATAACTGTTATTCACTTAGCTCGATTTTGCGGAAAAGGTCTCGACGCCGGGTTTTTGACATTGAGATGGTTGACTGCACCCTGCTGTTAGGATACCAATATTGCAAAGGGAGAACGCCTTGAGATGAGGTGATCTTGATCTCCAATTCGCTTTGCAATACTCGTGTCGTTGAGTAGGCGGAAGTTTCTATCCCATTGGAATCGTTTACACGCAGGATTCAAATCTCCTCTGACAACATTGCAGCCCCAAGGCTTACCTACAGCTTCTAAATCAAACAAAAGTAGCGCTTTACAGGCCATGGCAATGGTCCGCAGTGTGACGGGAATTCAGATGACGAAGCCCTAGAACCTTTGTTTAATTTATCAATTCGAACGAGGTGACAACTGAGCTCTACAAATCAAGTACTTAAGCAAGCTCTCGGATACGGGGTGACCTCGTATACATTCTCTGAAAATTTGATCTGGGAATCTTTTGACGCCACACGGAAGACAGCCACCTCTGAAGCCGGAGGGATTTCGCCTAGTGGAAGAACGCTGTTTCTTCCTCATCAGAGAAATTCACTCGCCAGGGAATTGGAGAGATTTGCGCTACCAATTTTATACCGCCAAGGACAGACACCTTGCCCTTCGCCTCTCTGAGAACCGCCCGTTGCCGAGGTTTATTCGCGCTAGATCAAGCGCACGAAGGTGACGATTGAAGACTGACTGCGTACCCAATTCGCCGTGTCGATTGGTCTGGGTGTAGTATAGTCAGGGCCAAGTCCCCTACCAACGACACAAAATTTTCTCCTAAGAGCACCCTAGTCTTTGAGAAACCTAGCGGCGGTGTATAGCTGGTCTCCTACTACGTGCAGTTCACCAAGGAAGGGTGTGATATACTAAGAAGAAGCAAAAAAACTGTCTAACACACTAAGGTGGCACATATCCATAACTGCTGTTGTCATAAAGTACCTAGATGGGGCATAACACACATGAGTTTGACAATCCAAATCCTTCTCTGTACATTGGTACCCCGGACGGTAAAATTGGTACTTCACTTTCGGTGGATCCCAGTCTGCTCTTTAGGATAGCAGAACGCCTTTTGGATCTACTCCCTTGAGTCTTAAATGTAGGCGCCGCGGTAGGCTAGCCACGAGTAATCTTTACTCCCAATGCCCTGCATAAAACCAACTCTGCTTCATCTTTCCGGCCCTAGCAGCGTGAATCAGTTCCAGGCGATCGTGGTCAGACTTATTTCGCTGTTCTAAACTCGTGTATTCCTGAGAAACGGCTTATGCATATGCTCCAAGTGACTTCACCGATGGCTCCGGCCCCGACCATGGCCCCGGCATAGCCCCGAGTGGGGCCGCGATTATTTCCGGAGCGGCCTATTTTATCCATAGAATTGGCCACGGGCCAATTCTTCCCCTTTACCCGTGTCCAAAAACACCAGAAACCCCCCGACCCCCCCGAATCCACAGCCCCGTCGCCTCAGGTCTAAGAATGGCCCCCGAAACGAGGGAACGAGCCTCACGCCGTGTCCGAATGCTACGCTATCTCCTCCCCAAGACGGGAGGATCTTTACATAGAAACAAAGATCTCCCCAATGCTCCCTCCCCCCTTTGTTGCACCGCAAGGACCGTTTCGCAGAGGCCAGCGCATCCAAACCGCCAAGAAGATAGATTGCTTCAAAACCTTGTGGATCAGCAACACATCCCACCCCAAGAAAAGCCCCCCCCCCCTCCCCACGCTTTGGCTCTCTCAAGTCTCAGTGATTGGGGACCCCCAATTGCCATTGTCGCTCGAACAATAAGTCAGCTTGGCGTAAAACCTCACGAATCGGCTGCTGTGCCGGGGGGGGGGGGCGCCTTCCAGTGGTTATAGTGTTTTCTTCCTGGTCATCGCGCTTGAGCTGAGGTTCACTCATTCGGCTGTAACCGTACGGACGGATACCGTGCACCTCGCTGTAAACGCTTGCTACTATTTCGATAAATCATCAGACAAGGAGGCACGGTAGAGTTGGGACGACAAGCGGCCGGCATTGCACATCTTTCGTCCCGTCCAATCTTGGCGCGTGTCGGAGGGCCGGGCCCGGCCCGCTCGCCGCTCGAGTTTGCCTGCCACGCTGTCTTTGCCCCCCCCCCCCCACCCGACTGGTCAGGTACAGCGCGAAAAAACCCCCGTTCTCGAGTTTCTAACTGTTTGCTTCCTTTCAGCAGCTCTGTGCGCCGTTCAAGGGGCACCTTGATAGGTACAGTCGTCAAGTCCCAGATAAGATGCCACATGTCAGTAGGCACCAGCACATGTTTGGATAAGCAGGCACAGAACTCGTCTCATGGTTGTTTGTGACGTCAACAGAGGCTCAGATTGTATCATCCACCGACAATCCATAGAGCCTCTCGCCCATGTCTTTCTCGCCTATGGTGGCCTCGATGCTGACCCGCCAACTCGACTCAGTCACGGTTGCACATATCGAGTTGAAGCCCGAGAACTTTCCTGAAGCGGTAATTGCGAACCAGGGTTGAAGGCTCGGCAGGCCTGCCAAGGGCGGTCACATGCCAGATGCAAAGCCCCGTCGATCTTCCTTCCTGTCCCACCTACGAGAACACTAGACCTTTTGCTTTCTTCATTTACATGACAACGGTGACGGGTGACCAGCGTGTCGGAGATTGAGCAGAAGCCGGCAAACAAAACATGCCAGTAGAAAGACGTGTGTTAAAAGGCAGATGGGCGCGCGTCCCAAACAATCTAGCCAAAGTTGCCAGACTAGACAAGACGTAGACAGTAGAGCAAGGTAAACCCCAACTCGGCCGCGCAAGATAAGAGCTTGACTCGCAGGCAGGCGAACCAGATGTGACGTCCGCACAAATGCCAGAGTCGTCTCCGAAACTCTCTCAGTTGTCTTCTGGCACTCTGCAACAGCAGGACCCTCCCCGTGGGAATTTGCGAACCAAGTCCGAGTCTCCTGCGCGACTGCGATTAAACTCCAGGTGCTGGCATCCCCCTCTCCCCCCCCCCCTCTCCTGAGTCCCCTTCCCCCCCTTTCTTAGAGAAACTCTAGACTAGACAAGACTTAAAATACAACCCTTCTCTATCCACGCCAGGTTTGCACGTCATAATTACCACCTACATCAACACCACTTGAATGGCATATCGTGAAATTGAGAGGAATCAAAGAGAAGGACGGAAGAGAAACTAGTTTGTGAAACTATCGAACCCGCTCAGCCTCGGCATACACAGTAGACCAGAAATCAACACACCGTGACACCCCGGTCGTGATACCCAGTCTCTACCCCACGTGCGTCTCGTCGAAAGCAGGTGTCTGTCTCTCTCTCTCCCCCCCGCCTCTCCCAGGGAATCGACCCTCGGTGCAGCAGCAGGCTTGTCAGTGCTCATCCCCTCCCCCTCCATTCCACACCTCTCGTCCTGGCGACAGCCCCAAGCAATCAACAGGAAGAGACTCGATCGCAACAACGTTTGCGTGCTTGGAATGCACAACGAACGACAAACGCAAACGTAGCCAAAATTCGCAAAAGAATCAAGGCAAAGTCGTTCCGGCTTACTCCAATCAAAACCATCACCCCACACCCTTTTGAGAGGTCTCGCACATCGAAGGGTGTGACGATGAGCTGTCTCTGAGGAAATGTCTCTTCCACCCCTCGTCCTCCCCAGATTTTTTTGTGTCTTTGCACAATCAGCAATCATTTCCCCAATCCGCCAGCCCGGATTGACAAGACACGACGCGTTCTACCGCATTCCACTTATTCCCACCTTGGTCAGCGGGGGTGGTCCGTTTAGCATGTCAGATCATTGCATGAAGAGCGGCCCACATCACAGAAGCTTGGTCTTTGCTCCTTTCCTTTTCCCTCTTTTGCTGTGCTCTCTCCCTCACTCTTTCTCTCCTCTTCTCTGTCTGCAATTTGTAAGTGCGCGTAAACATAGTCATGTTACAACAACCGTCTTTCCAAGCAATCTTCCGGGAGCAGGGAAAGTCTCGGCGAGCTGGGCCCCCCGACTTTGACAGCTCCAAGCCTCTGGCCCCTCTTCCCACCAATGTCGCTCTCGCTCCTCAAAGTCCTTCCTCCTTCCCTTGATCCGTGTAGCCCGGCAATGTGTGATGCACCTACTCACAGGCTTCCCGAGAATGCGGCACAGCCGAAGAGAGACTGGAGGTGATGTGCCCACCACACCCCCCCCCCCATCCCCTCCAACTCTCTGGAGTCTAGGCTGCATGCCGATTTTTTTCTTCATCCGCTTGTTGCCGAATGTGTGTAAGAGGAAAGAGACCGGACCGGTTCTGCAGTGGCTTGATGGCAATCGTACCAGACTCACATAATAGGATTCTCAGCACATGTAGGCATACGCAGTAGCAAATCTTGACACGATGATTTGTTCCCGTCAGAAACTCCAATTTGGTATTTTTTGTCTTTCTTTCTGTGTAAATCGGTCCCGTGTCCCATCCCGTTTCCCAAGACTCTATAAACGATAAACGAATGGGGGGTTTGTTTCCTGCCGGCCCAAGAGACAATCTGCCCTACTCTCTTCGGGTGTTGTACTCAATGATGTAAAAAAGAGAAAATGAAAATGATCCAGCGCCTATTGCTCGTCCTCCCAGAGCTCCCCTTAGCTCGTCTAATCGCTTGTTTTTGGGCACAAACTGCCTTGTTGGTTTCCTGCACCTTTGGTATCCAGACTTTGATGGCTTGATACGATGGAAAAATCATGAACATGGCTTGCTTTAATGATGTGGGGGAAAAAAAACAATTCAAGAAAGAAGAATCATTATCCTTTCAAGAGCATCTTAGCCGAGGAGCGCAGGGTGCCAGTCAGACTTGTGCTCGTCGGGGTGCTCGCCGTAGTGAACGGGACCAAGCTTGAGGAAGCGAAGGCCGTTGCTGCCGTCGCTGCTCATGCTCGAGGTGCGGCGCTTGAGGGGCGCCGGCTCGGTGGCGGCGGCGGTAGTGGTGACTGCGGCGGCGGCCTGCTGCTGTCTGAAGGGGTAGGAGGACGAGGTGGTGGGGGCGAGGGAGAGGAAGACGGAGTTGTCGACGGGAGAAGACATTTTGAATATTGTTGTTCTGGTTTTGTTTGGTGTGGGGCTTGTTTTGGTTGCGAGAGTTGGCAATCGGCGTGTGGGAGAACAGATCAACTGCTTTGAAGACACTGAGAGTTCGGCGAGTAGAGTCGAGAAAGGATGAGAGCGTTGGGATACAGATAGAAGGGGAGACACTGGATGGGAGGGGAGGGCCGTCCAACTTTATAAGTTTGGATTACACCGGAGGACACGGGAGGTGTGAGCTTGGCTGACCTGGTCGCAGACCACCCCCTTCCACCCGGCCCACGGGCAAGAATTCAAAGGTAAGGTGACGGGTAGCTTGCCGAGTCACACGGTGGGTGCCGTCTCAAGCCGGGTTTGCTCACAAAAGAAAAAAAAAAAAGTTGATACTGGGGGTCCTCGGGCGCAGATGGAGAAGGGGGACAGGGAAGGGGGGACGGACTATGGACATGGAGGGAGGGGGAGGGGCAAGGTCATCGCATCGTATCGCACGCTGCCTATCGTACACTACTCTGTGTCGAGAAATGAGAAATTGTGTACTGCGTATGGCGCGCGTCGTGTGTACTCAAGGTGCATCTCCCGGACCAGCCGTCTGGGCAGAGCAGGCGTGCAGAGAGACACAGACCACAGACATCACGTTACGGTAACGCCATGGTTTAGAGTCAGAGGGAGGGCGTGATTGAGATTTAGGGTGAGGTGGGCAATACAATAGCCACAGGTTCAGAACAGGTATTGCACAAAATAGGAAATGCCGGGATCTGGTGTTTCTCAAAAGCCATGACACATGCATGGGCAAAAATGATGTGCTACCTCTTGTTATGTTCATACCCGTCGTTGGAGAGAGTTGACTGAGACTATTTGCGGTGGGTGTCAAAACAAGCTAGGTAGCAAGGTGCCATAAGGGTATGAATCAATTAGACCGAAGACTCTTGCGCTCGACCGGGATGGTGTTGTATTTTGATCTTCTCAAACAAAAAGCTCGCCCAGCCAAGAGATCTAAATTTTGATAATCCTGAGGTGTGTTTTCTATGCGAATGGGCTCCGCTTTTGACCTTATCGCGCTTGAATTGAGGTGTTCTGCAACAGATGGATGGGGGTTGGGCATCCGAGCGTCTCAACTCTCAGTCACTCCCCCGGAGGGGCGTATTGCGACTTTGCATTCACGCTTTTAGATCAGAAAAGTTTCCCAAACCCGCCAAGAACCTGGAAGCATGAGATGTTCGGATTGGAGATGTCAAGTCTAGAAAAGGAGGCAGCAAATAGGACAAAAATAAAGAGGAAATACGGGCCTCCACGGTCCTCTCTCCTGCGGTCGCTCCTGAAACCCTTATCAACCAAGTATCAAATCGGCCCTTGTTGGGAGGGGCTATTGATAATTATTTTGGTGGCTCTTTTCTGGGAACTTGGATCTAGACCCAGTCCCAGTCCCAGACCCAGACGGGACCTTCTAGATAGGCATCCTGAAGTTTCCAGAGCGGGAACGTTGTTGCACGTGGGCCTGTAATTGGCTGAGCTCCATGTCACGACAGCAGCGCGGGAGAGTGTGCAATGCGAGAAATGCTCAAGTCGCTCTCTCTTGCCTTATCCGCAGCTGACGTGGGGTTGGTGCGCTTGAAAGCAAGAAAAAAAAAACGCGAGACACCCGCCGCCGCCGCGAAAAAAAAAAAAAGAAAACTTGCTGAAATGAAATTAAAAAAAATAAGTAAAGAAAAGTGCAGGGGGTTGGTGCAGACTGCAGAGTGTGGGTACCTACGCAAAGTGAGCGTGGGGACAAGCGTGAAGGCTTGCCGCAACTCGAGATCATGAAGTTCCGGTTGTGAATGCCCTCGCAGTCACCAGATCTGATATCATGACAATTGGAATATCCGGGGAAAGTGGAGAAACCTCGGTCGGCCCCAATTGAGGCTCTTTCCCAAGTCTCCAACGTCGTTCGAAAATGGAATGGGAAAGTAAAAGAGGAAGCCGAAGGGGCCAAGGTTCTTGCCCCGGGTCCCGGGGCGCGGGTGGCTCCTCATTGGCCGCGTCGGAGGCCACAAGAGGATTTCTCGGAAGGGACCACGAGAACCGGCGCTGGGGCCTTCCCTCCTTCTATGGGCAACAGCCAGCAACGAACGAATCCAGACCATCGCAAGACAAACCCGATCACAACATTGCCCACCTCATGATCCGGGGAAAAGGAGCCAACATCACTGGATGGGTCCTTTCGGGTGCGACGCCGAGGTGGGGGAAAATCGCGGAGGACGCCGGGGAGGTTGAGCGCCGTGACTTTCCTCATCCTCCCGCATTCGCAAACCTTCGGCAACACCCTCTCTCTCCCCCGCATATGGCAGAGGCTTAGGGACGAATATGTCATTTTCCTCTTGGGCCTCGGTACAAGATATCCAAGCGGAACATACTAGGTACCTCACCTGGCTCGCACTCGGCCCGGCACAGTTTGCGGCAAAGTGGACACAATGCCCCGAGACTAGCTGGCCCGTTGTCGCCTGTTGCCGCCGTGCCACTGGCTTGAGCCCGCCCGTTGGTTCCTGCTGTGCCCCGGCGGGAGAGCACATACACGCCGTGGCACGGCGCGGCGCGGCGCGAAGGCGCGGGTTTAGATCCTTTTGGCTTTGTCTTTGCCCCTTTAGCCATGTGCCATGTGGTGTGTGTAGTTCGTAGGATTCAACGGGCGTTTCGGGAGGGAAGAAGGCAAAATCCTGAGATCGCCTTTGCTTGCATATTCTCTAGCAATAGCATTTTGATCCTTCCGCGGGGTGCAGTCCACTGAGTAAGTGCCTTGCTCATTATTGAGTGTTTCCCCAGCAGTAAGGTTGACTTCAACCGTTTCTCATACCAAAGTCGTCTTGACGGTATTCTGATCCCGCTTGGGCAGACAAAGATTTTTCCGAGCAGAGTAAAAAAAAAAAAGGAGCAAAGAACGAAACGGAGAGGAGAGTGAGGCAAACGTTAGAGGGGAAGGGGGGCATCATGACATCCTGTCTTCTGGATGGTGAAAAGAAACGAACTGAAAGGTTTTCATACCTTTTCCTCCTTGCCATCAAGGAACAAACACCACTTCATTCGACTCATTCGCTCGTCATGTTGGTTAGACTCTGTTTTGAAAACAAGGAGAACCGAACCTGACGTACTTCAAACAAGGCTTCTGTCTTGACAGTGCCTTGTCTTCTGCTGCGTTCAAACGCAGCCCAGGTTTTTGGAGACAAAGGATATGCTGACTTTGGCCTCAGACTCAAGTGAGCCTTCCTCAGGCAAACCTTTGCCTTGCCCCCCTTTCTCTTCATCTCTCGTCTCTCATCTGGACCGAAGCTCCTCTCGTCTCCTCTTCCTCCAGGTGCTCTCTCCCTCCTCGACCGCAGCTCCAGGAGGCAAATCATTTCCCCAAAAGGACCGATCCGTTGCGCGATATCTTTCTGCAATCTCTGAGGGGATGTTCCAACGGAGGCCGTCGTACCAGAGCAAGAGAGTCAGGGTTCTTTGATGCCAACCGATACAACTCCGCTTCTCGATCGAGCTTCAAGCCAAGCTATCGAGGGCAGTTGGGGAAGAAGGATGGTGAAGCCTGCCTCGTATGCGACCGGCGGGCCGCCCGCAAAACCCATCGTGAACCCTGGCATGGAGGAAGGTGATTGCGGTGCGTGAGGTAACACGACATGGCCTGCGGTGGTGTGTATGATGTGTATGGCGTGTGCAAGAAGCGGTGATGGGGGGAAGCATCGAGACGTTGCATGAGAAGAGGAAGTGTTGCCACCAACACGAGAAGGCATCTCACTACTTGCCTGCCTGCTGCTGCTGCTGCTACTTTTCCCCTCAAATCTTCGTCACAAATGTGCCGCAGTTTGGGTGATTCCAACTTGCATTAGTGGACACATGATGCGAAAGTTGCTTGTGGATGGCCAAAGTACTGTACGAAAGAAGGGACTTCGCGAGAATCGTTCCAGGGGTGTAGTGGCAGTCCAGCTTCCTTTCCGTTCATAGAAGGTGTGTGGAAACCTTCGTCAGGGGAGAGGTACATCCATCCGCGGGCTGTGATGAATGATATCCACCCTTGATCAAGGCTAGTACCATGTTGATATGGTCTTGGTACGGATAGGGGGCAGGACAATCAGGGTAACTTACATCGGGATCAACAGCTCATAGAACGATTCTGACCGCTAGAACATCCACAGTCCGTCTCCTACGGAAAGGTCGTTCCGCATATGCTTCATCAACGCTAGGAGATGATGACATCCGGTTGGTGACGGGCACCGACGAGGTGCAGATGTCATCTGGGCCTTGCCCACATGCCCCGTCAAGACCTACGGTTTCCTTGACCTTTCCTGATCTTTCCTGATCCTCCCTCCATATTGGCCCGTCGAAAAGACTAACACCCAATTACCCCTGTCGAGTGACCGCTTTCGAGATATTGCATTCCAACTTGACCATCTGCAGCAGTGGAAAGGGTACGCTTTCCGCGTGAAATCCGCCGGTGCCACTGGTAAGAAGTTGAAAAATGGTCGATTCTTGCGGCAAAAAGTGTATAAGTCTGGCCGAACGCTATTGAACTTGAGCCGCCGTCATGGGCGGCTACCGGATGAATGAATGGTCGTCGGTCGAGTCGGGCCAAGCCGCGAGTCCCACGAGGCGCTTATAACAGGGGGGTTCGTGATGGTGATTGGCTGGCATGCGACTCAATCACACCTCGCCCGCTTCGTCGAGGGACAGTCCAACAACAACATCTGCGCCATGCTCGACTTCGCGGGGCATTCTGCTTGTTTTCCCGCGATGAACCTGTTGGAATGGTCGACAAGGGCGCCTGATGGTGCCCTCTGGCTCTCATGCCGCGACAATGTCCCGGTTGGTTGTGAATGGCGGCACCCGCAATCATAGACGAGCTCGCTCTGCCCAGCCGCCACCTGCATGCTCACTCGCACAGGGATGTTGGTACAGCTTGCCAACACTCAACTCGATACAAGTCGTGAGTGAGCCTGGCAAATAGTATATGCAGATGTGCAATAATTCGCGAAGCTACCCCTGTATCTCGCTCTCCAAGTCCTAAAGAAGAAGTTGCAGAGCTCGACTGGGAAGTGATGGGATAACCTCTTGCCCTTTCCTGATGCGGTCAAGAACGTGAGAGATATTCGTGTCGAAGGCACTCGGTTGCCAAGTCGTCCCGATGTCCGTCTCGTTGCCGGGTAATGACAAATGTATGTCCCTTGCCCAAAAAAGCGTAAGCAGGGAGTATTTGAGTTGCAGAAACTCCTACAATGAGATGTCAACTCACCGTCAAAATGACCCGCAGCTAGACAGACCTCGAGCCCGTCATCCAGATTACATAACAAACAAATCTAGATACAGGGGCTGACTGGACAGGGTTTAGTCCGAATGTGAGCTTGTTGGGCTGCGATGGGCTTTTGAGACTTTAGAGAGCTCCTGGCCCAAGATGTCATATTCCTAGGTGGGTATGAAAAGGGGGAACGAGGTCTGCTTCGCCGCAATGAAATCGGTGTACCTTGACTGACCACTTGGGTTCCTACAAGTGACATTCCCAATGGAGAAGTTTTCTTGGCTCAAGAGGAAGACGGCAGTCCGTCGAACATCGATGGAAGGAGGCGACCGGGACCAGGGGGGTGCTGTACCCCATTGTTCGGAATGATTGGCAGGCCAAATGGCCATGTGAGGTATGCTGCGGGCACAAAGAGTGTTGGGGTGTTCGAAGAAGCTTGCCTAGTCAGACTGTCGGTAATGATAGGCCGCACGCGAGGCCGCATGAAGACACTGCGGTGTGTTGGACTCCCGTATGGTCCAGTGGTAAGGTAGTAGCAAGCTGGGAACCCCATCACTTGAACCAATACATCACCTTGACTGTGGGCCAGAAGGTCTTGCGGTGAAGCAGCTTCTGCTCAGGACTCAGAAAGAGACGACAGAGCTAGTACACCAGATACATGGTACCCACAGGGTCGGGGTTACTCTTCATCAGCGGTGGTTTGCCATGATGTTCACCTCCAGACGACCTTGTAAGAGACTAAGTGGACGAGCGCGCCCCCTCACTTCGGTTTGCCCGGGACGCAGGAGCAGGCATTAATGGTTCGATTTACGAGAAAGAGGGTGTGGCTTGCAGCCTCGAGGTACTTTGCCAGCTCGGACTTGGAGTTGGGAGGCGCCACCGTTGCGACTATTTCGCATTGTGCCTTAGGGTGAGACGCCGTTGATGAGGTTCTGTTGCATCAGCACGCGACGCCGATGAAGAGTCCCTTGACGTTTTCCGAAAGGCGCAGAAGACGGGAGAGTGACGAGTTATGATGGTGCATATGATTCTGACAAGCCACGTTTGGCATATGGGGCCGTTGGCATCGGAAACGGAGTGAAGACTGCTCGAATGGCCGTCTAGCTCTACTGTAAGCTTGATTTTTCGTAGGCCGAGCGGACAGACAGTCGACGCTGCACCAACGGCCGTATTATAGGGGCTAGCTCCAATTCAGCGGGGTCTTAGACGAGATTTAGATCCGAAGAACACTTGAGGATAAGTCGAGGCAGCTTGGCCTACGGAGACGGAGTTGGTTAACTTAGCATACGGACGTATGTCGAGGTGCACTAAAATAGTGCGTAGCTAATCCGACTAGCTGGAGACGTTGGTGCGATGACCTCAACTAGATGGTCGAGTGCTTCATCTCAAAAAGGTCAAGTAATTACCTAGCCCTCTTTATTCGATGGTGGCTTGCATTTTCTAACGCAACAAACCTACACATTTCTCAACCGCCTCAAACACAAAGAGAAACGAACAGTATACGTACCTTTTTTCGTCAAATTCAACGACAAGCCATGGGAAAGAAGCTGAAGGCGAATGGGAAATTGTACATGAGTGAGTAAAGAGGTAGTGAGGTAAGTGGGAAACGAAAGCGACAGAGGGACGCAAGGCATAGACATGGAGCACATTGTGTTTGCATCGTCTGACGGCAACAATGGAAAAGGCGGAGACTGGTTTGCATCCGTGCCAATATCCAAACCGCAAAACTTTGCCGTTGGGATGTTGTGTGGATCATTCCAAATGGTTAGATGGTATATTGATGGCAGTTTGAAAGAAGACGGCAAATGATATCACAGTTGTTGGTGATGAGAAAGGAAGTGGCAGGCGAGATGACAGGGACGAGCAGCAAGATTCGGGAGTTGCAGGGAAGGAAGAAGCAGAGCAGAGCAGCAAAAGAGTGCTCAAGAAGAAAAGAAAAGAAACGAAAAAGTTCAACAAAATCACATCGAGGTCATTTCACAAATGCAGTTGCCCAGATCTGTCACTTGCTTTCTTGTCAAGGTACTCGGTCAGTTCCAAGTTCCAACCAACACCGAACCAACGCCTCATGCAGTTTTCGCACTGTTCTTTCTTCGCACTTTCTCCGATCTTTCTACAGTGCGTGATCGCTCCCAAAATGGAAGCTTCATTTCGCCTGCTCTGCTTTCTTCTGCTCCCGTCTACGGATACTCCTCCACTCTCTGTCTCTCTCTCTCTCTCCCACACTAACGGAAATACCACATATCCCAACCCAACCCAACATTACCTAGTTCATCAACTCAACCCGGTCAGTGGTTTCTCCTCCCTTGCCAGCCACGGCCCAGGAAACGCCATGTGCCCCCCGATCAAGCCATCGGGCTCTTTCGGACACTGTTGCTGGCCACGTTTATGGCTGGCTTAGCTTCCTCGGGCCCTGACGGCGGGCATGCCCTCCCTCTCTGCATCTCATCTGCGCAAGGTCAAGGTTCCTTCTTTTCGAAAGCATTGTGCTTCGGGCTTGCACTCGCCTCGCCTTCGCTGTCTTTCGCTACAAGGAACCCTCCTGACACCTTCAGACCAGCATCTCACATCCTTCGCCCCTGCACTTTCACATTACACCGCGAACACCCCAACGGACAAGCCTCGCGACCCCAACCGAGCCGAATTTCGCCCGCTCTTAGCCTCAGCCGGCCCAGTCTTGAACCTCATTAGGCTCTCCTGGTCTTGGCCATAGATCTATGTGGCGTATTCTATCCTTCGTATGGAAGAACATGAACATAGACCGACAGACGTGACGACCTTTCCTCTTGGCATCTCCATCTTGCAAGAGCCACGCCTCAGATGTCGACTCCACTCTGTTATGTGAACCCCTGGTCAATTGTGGCATTCGCTCTACCACTGTCACTATTACCTGTTTCCAGCGCCCGTTCTCACCTTTAGGGCACCGTCCTGATTTCACAATCTTTCTGTCTTCAATTCGTCATGAACATGATGGGCCGGCTAGGTTCTAGCAAGAGATGACGGATACGTCTTGGTGGAACGCATCCCGCCGCCTCCCAACCTTTATTACTCCACGTTGACCCTGTTTCGCCTCAGGAAGCCAACGCCTATGCCTATGCCTGGACCCGGACTTGGACCTGGACCTAGGCCTGAACATGGACTCGGCTGAAGCAGGGTTGGAACTCTGGTCAGGGACATTGATGCGGATATCGATGAGTACGTCGACCGGCAGCTTGATCGACCTTTCTACTCACTCCTTCGGTCTTTGCTTCTTTGGTCCGATTTGTAATGTAGCTAGACGGTGGCATAATCAAATACTTCGTTTGAAAGCGGCCGCTGCTCTACTGTACCTTTCTCATGCCGCTGTCGTCTGGCTGTCTGCCCCATTCGCATGCTTGCTTTGACCCCCAACTTCCACTCTCCGCCGTTCCAACTCGGAGCGGAGGAGCATCTCATTGCCTTTGCGGCTGTCTGTTGTGCGGCTCCGTCATTAAATTGGATGCTCGTATCTGAATGAGTTGATGTGCAATCTAACGTCTTCCATGCGGTAGCAGTGCCCCCAGTGGGCTAGAGTAACTCCGGCAGGGAGAGTCAAATCCGCGAGCGGTCTACCGGTGCCTGTTCGCCCTTATGATCATGTCAAGGTGCCTCGAGGATCGGCAGCGCATTGAGGGATAGATGGGAAGATACCGTAGCTGTGGCGGATACAAAGGGCGCCATCAGCGGAACGGTCTTGCCCAAACTAGACTAATAAACAGGGCTTGACGCGGATCGCTCATGTGCGACATCGTCTGAACGATCCACTCAACACAGCGGCCCATCTCTACGCTTGACAGTAAAGTCGGCCTGGGGCGTACTAGGAGCTGTCTACGAGGGGTCTCCCGACACCATCAGTTCGAGGACAATCACAACTCAAGACAGCGACATGGGTCACCCATTCATTGTAGGCACTTATGCTTGCCCTACCTTACGCTGAGGGGACTGACCATACGACACGGCACCAGCATGCCCTGCACAGAGCTCACTGCTTGCTGCTGCTTCTGCTGATGCTGCCACGCCAAGCTATCCCCGATCGAAGTGGCCGATGTTCTGTGTTCACACGTTCCCCCAATAGAAAGTGCGGCCAGTGGGCGCCATGCGACAATGGGAACACACGAGAGGTGCACCTACCTGCCCTACCCTGCCCCGAATACCCGTCACCAGTCATTCATTGAACCGGGCGGGGCGTCTGAGGATATCCGTCTTTCATCTTTCTCTCTGTGTCTCTTTCTCACACACTCTCTCGCTTCATCTCTCTTCTTCCTCTGTCAACATCTCCAGAGACGACATTTGGATGACATCGCCTTGCCTCGGCAGCCCACCACTAAAGACCCTTCAAGGATACCCTGCCAGACGTTGAGCCGGCTCAGTATCGTAGTCGTCGAAACCAACATCTTGGGTCACGCGTCGCCCATACAGCACTCGAGACGGAACACCAGAAAAACGAGACATTGCGTCAACAGACCCAACTTTGGCTGGGCTGCGCCTCTGAGGTGCATATTGGGGGCTCTTTCGTTCTAGGTGGATATCACGTCCAACAATACCCATTGTCTTCCAGAAAGGCCGCCTGCGTGATACCCTGGTCTTACCAACACAACGAGGCGGGACAGTACCCGGCTATCACGTCTCATTTCGAACTAGCGTACGACTTATCAAAAGGGCAAAAAGACAGGCCAGAATCTTTCACCCAGTCGACCAACCATTGCACCGTTGTGCGTTGGAAGTACACGGGTGCTTGTTAGCCCTGTGCGGGAGAGCCAACGGCCTGGGCTGAGTCGGATTAGGCTGGTTTCTCCACGACCGCCAAAGCATCTCCACAACCAGGCAGCTTGTCGACCACCTCCTGCAAAGGGGCGGATCAAACAACCCATCTGCCCGGTCCGCACCCGCAGCCAGCATCTCTCCCAGGTACATCGACTTGCAAGGTACAAGCCATCCTCACGACCTGTTGCATCTTCCACATTATTTCCCTCCACCAAGTTACAGCCCTCCCTTGCGTCAACTTGAAGACTTGCCAGACAGACGCTTGACGCACCACCATCTCCCGACTGGCATCTTCCAACACCAGAAAACAGAAACTTTGACGCGTTGGCAAGCAACCAACAGCCAAGCTGCGTCTACTTCCATTTGGCATCACCGGTGTGATAGCTGCCTGTTGGTCCTCCTTCGCTTGACTGACAGATTTGACGATGGCAAACAAGTCAGCCCACTCCCGACAGTCGATTTCAAGCCAATAGCCAGTCTTGAGCTTGTGTTACGACGATATATAAGACAGACGACATTTCCCGTCTTGAGCTTCCAGAAAATACACTCCTCACCCGGCCAGGACAACAACTATACAACGCACGAGACCATCCCTCTTACCAGTCACCTCCAAGAAACAAGTTCTTTGTCCAACTTATTCATTGCCAGACGAGTCTTCCACGCCCATCACTATCGAGCTTCACACGAAAAAGAGAGAACCTCACTTGGAAGCCTACCGCTCGCGGCCTAAGAGACCTCCTCAAAACAGCTTCGGCACTTCTTCTTCTTCTTCTTCTTCTTCTTCTTCTTCTTCTTCTTCTTCTTCTTCTTCTTCTTCTTCTTCTTCTTCTTTCCACGGAGAAGAATTCTTCTCTAGCCAAAATGTGTTCCAGAGTCATCATCACATGGGGTTGCGGCTGCACCGAGACACGGCCTGTATATGCGTGCAGCTCTCACGGCCATTGCGGAGGTGTTGTAGACAAGCCGCAAAGCCAAGATGGCACTTGCTTCAACTGCCAGAAGCAAGGGAAATCGTAGGTCCGTTACAGACTCATCACTCGGTGAGATGCCAACTAACGGTATTTTGGGCATTAGATTCGACGCCGGCCTGAAAGTAGACATAAAGCCGAGGGAAAGAAGACTATAAAGAGATTCTTCTTATCGGACTCATTCAAATTATGAGGCCCACGCCTCCCGTTCCGCTTCTCTTCTGTGGCATTATCATTGTCAACGACTCCAGCAGAATAGAGCTTTGAGAGACACAGCACTGTCTCTATTATTCCATTCATCAGCATGCTGGTTTATTTATCCACCCTTTTCTTATTTCCTTCCTAGCAACCTACGATGATGGGGTATCGCATGCAGATTTTTCTAGACTGCCTAAAGCAGTCACCTAGTTCGTCAGGTCGGGCGTCTCGACTCTCACGAACACTCTCCCTGTCAATAGCTCCTCCTTGTGGAGATGTCAATTCAATCATTTGAACTCTAATTAGCGTGCTTCGCAATTTGATGCCCAGATATGCAAAGCCAATGTCGGTGATTTGGCTGTCCATATTATGCAAGATAGGGGAAAAAGAATTTTCACTGCCAAACAGTTTGAGAAAGCAAATTGGCAGGGCAGACTCGAATTTTCTTGCGTCCCCTGTCATAGTCAAGCCACATTCGGGGGATACCTATATTTGATGTCGGGCCGTACTCGAGTATCCCGTTTTGCTTTTTTATTGTTTTTTGAATAGCGCCTCTTGGACCCCGAGACCTGGTTTCAAAATGGGGCTGGGGCGGCACAAAAAATTATCAGCATGCGACCGTAAGTTTGGCCTACTTGAGACTTGACTGACCTGTCAGAAGAAAAGAAGAAAATCGACAACGTGGTACGGCAGTGAACACACGGGAGCGGTCCGTCTGCGACAGCACGTTGCCTCGTCGGACGGGGAGCAGCACTTGGCCGTGTGGATGGTTTGGCCTCATAAGACATGTCGCCCCCTGTCGGTTCCCGGAAGAGGCGACTGATTCACTTGCACACACACACACACACACACACACACACACACACACACACACACACACGCACACACACACACACACACACACGCACGAATTTGTGGCTAGATAGACAAACAATACTTCGCCCCCAGAGACTGCGCCCGGCAAGCACTTGATTATTCTCCAACGGCATTCATAAGGTTGTTCGAGAAAAAAGGGTGTAGCCCCTAGACAAGCCACAAAAGACGCCCCAAACCAGCATGAGGCTGGAAATAGATGGCGGTGGTTACGGCGCGTAGCGGGTAAGATTCCCACGACCCAGCATGAGCATTGCGTCATGTGATGGCAAGCGAGTAGTTCAAGTTTGGACGCGAATTGATTGACGCGAAGCATACGCGCGACAAGCGACAAGGTGTCTCTATGACTCGGAACAGAGTCGAGTACTGTACACACCTTTTTTCTTCATTTCAGTTGTCGAAAACAAAGAAATGAGCCGTAACAGATGTGAATAGTGCTTGCTGATAGGCCGGAATTATCGAGTCAGGAAAAGGTATGGGGAAGGGAAGGAAACAGGGGTAAGAAATTAAAGATAGCAGATTAGCGATATCCATCACGAAAGAGAAACAATGAGAGAGAAGATGAATCAAAGAAAAGAGGACCTAGGCTAAGAAATAAAGACGGAGAGAAAGAGAAAAGAAATGAAAAGAAGAAAGACCATAGAAGTAGAGAGGAGGGAAAGAGAGTGACGCTGGATTGACAACATAAGGCCAATGCGCAAGCTAGCGGTAGGGCAGAGTCCAGACAGACATGGAGAAAACGAGACACCTTGCCATCAAGCTTGGACCAATGCTACGCCACGCTGCGTTAGCGTAACGGCGGAGACTAACGTCAACCTAACTTTCCATTGAGAAGAGCTAAGGTGCCGTGCTTCGCAAGTTCGCAGATGGATGCCCTCTTCCCAAGGTAAGGTACCTAGCCCTTGTTCATGGCCATTTCAGTAAGGACATATGTGTGACGAAGGCAGCGGAAACACACACCGGCCCAGCCAGGCGACCCGGGTACCAAGATGCTGTGAGCAGCCGAGACTGCGACTGCGATGAAAGCTCAACAGGGAAATTGAAATTCAGCGAGGAAGAGGTATTTCGGCGCTCTCCTGTGTCTGGGAGGGAGTATGATGTACCCGCACACACAGTACTCCGTATGGATAGACCTCGTGATCCTAGACTGAGCCAAGGCAAGACACCGCAGGATAGGACGAGATAGGACGCTCTCGCCGGATGTAACCCGCCCTTCCTCCCATTTAATGCGCGCGGCGTGTGGCGTGCGGCGTGCCTCAATGGAGAGCGGGCGAGTGCGTCGTATATTGACGAGATGGACCGCCTCTCGAGACAAGGCAAGGAGAAGCGAGCGAGGTGAGGTGGGCAAAGGCAGGACAAGGCGAGAATAGGAGGGGAGGATCATGGATGAAGAAGAGAAAGTTGAGGAGACGGCGGCACAGAAACAAAAAGATGAGATGAGGATGGAGACGAGGAGAGAGGGAGCTGCATGAGGACAGGACCAGGGTAGGAGCCTCTAGGCTCTACTTCGTAGCAGACAGGCACGACAGGTAGCACTCCTGCCTGGTACTAAGCTAAGGTACGTGCGTACCTTCCCCCTGTCATCCGTGTCCGCAAGTGGGTCGGGAGATTGACACCTCTTTCCGTCTTCCTAGCTTCTACTTACCTCCCTAGCTCCTGCCTCCATACCTTACCCCAGTACCTACGTACCTGCCTTACCTACTCCGTACCTACCTGAGATACAACGGTACCTTGCCTCCTGCCTGCCCGCGCTGCACTTCACCTCATCCGAATCCAATGGAACCCAGGGCCACCAAAGATGGATGATTGCACTTGCATTTGCCTGTCTGAATGTCCCCTCTTTTCTCTCTTTCTCTCACCTACCTTACACACAGTTCACTTTTACTCCTCCATGCTTGCTCATGCAAATCTCATCCCCCTTCCCCTTCCCCCATGCTCAACATGGCAGGGAACATGCGTACACTACGACCTTCCTCTCCAAAACTTTGCCCTGCCCTGCCTTACCTGCAACTAGGTAGTTCTGACCTTGCTCCTTCATCTTGGCAGGGCAATCACACAGCATCACTAGAGCACTTCAAGCTGCGGATGAAGTCACCACGACTGACGACCAGGGACAGCAAGGCATCACGTCTCATTGAATGCGCCCCCCTTCCTCTCGCCCCTGCCAGCTTCGCTCCAGCTACCTGGCGTCGAGGGCCCAAAGAACAGGTCTTTGGAAGGACCATTGCAACTAGTTTCCCGGACATGCTTTCGTAGTTTCCACCTCGAGAGACCCTCGCCATCGTATCCGACCCAGCATGTCGTTTCTCGGAGACTTGAACGAGAACCAGGAATCAGAATCAGAATCACTGGGCCCAGCCCAAGGTAGAAACTGACGCTACCTTACTTCTACTGCTCCCGCTTCAGGTCCCAGGAACTGACATGTGGAACAGCAGCTATGAATAATCCCGTACGGACGGATACGTACCTTGCCTTGAACTCGCCAGGCACGGTTTGGTGTGATACTCCAGCCAGAAGATAGACAGACCAAGTTTCGGAGCGAAGGCAAATATCTCAAGTATACAAAGTCACGCATGCACCAACTCTACTTTATGCTTGTGTTCTTCCGGCATCACAAAGCGACCTACTTCATCGTACCGCACCGCATGCCTTGCTTGACACGCGCCGTGCGACATCGGACGGACATAGGCACGCGCTCTCTCTTCCACGGACACGTTTTTATCCTCTCACAACCCCCTCAACCTCTTTCTGCTGCAATGCCCGGCTTGACACGCGGCATGGCAGTGAGACTCCGTCTTGTTACTGTATGCAACCTTGTACAACCTTGGTCACCCCCCCCCCCCCCAAAGAAGGGGGCTGATGTGGTCTCATTCCCGCGTCATAGCAACGCAGCATCGCGACGCACACGACGTTGGTTCCTGGTTCTTGCCAAACGGCGATTTCCCTCGCACGCCCACCATCGTTCTTCACTGCCATTTCGACTTTGGCCAGGGGCCCCAAACCAGCTCCGTAAGCTGAACTTCCAAGGGGGTTCTAGTCGGCAAAGCAACATGGCTGACCGGCGATGCGAATGGGTTTCCCGATCTGCCTTTCTTCGTCAACTCGACAGACCTTTCCACCGGAAAGTGGAGTTGGCACAAGACTGTTAACAATAACCACCATACGGAGTACATAGAGCCGTCCCTGGTTTTTCAACAAGGGCACTTGTACGCGACGGAAGCCCGTCCCTTTCGCACTGACCAGCTCGTGGTCGAGGCATAAGGCAAAGCAGACGGTCCGTTTCTGTTTTAAGCAACAACCCTGATATATCAAAGCTGATCATGTTTGGCAGACGGCTTAGACTCAATCTGTCCAACCATATCGAGGTACGAATAGTCCACCACGAGGACAATAGCCGGAAAGTTTGTCACGTCTGTTTTCTCTCTCTTCTCGCCCCTCTAATATCATTGCCCATACCTTTGGCCCGCAAGCGCAAGTCACTGTGCGTAAGAAGCATAACACAAACATAAACTCCCTTGCCGTTTCCTTCATGTCAAGGTTGAGCTGTGACACCACCACGGCTACGTACAGACGAGGTGACCGGGGGCCATTGCTCATCTTCACTTGGCTGGCCAGCACTTTCCCGCTTGTTGCGGATCATCGGCCAGCACTGGGGCACCCCTCCCTCCTCAATTCCCCCATGTGCCTTGGGGGCGCAGAATGGGCTAGCATTGCTGACAGGCCCATCGCGCCCGCCCGCTTGGTCTTCGGCGGCTATGCACATCGCTTCAATCCTGCATAACACCAATCATTGACATTCAAAAAGTTCACAAACCTCTTTGATTGTGCCGCAGTGCTGCACTTTGGACTTCATCTTCCGCTCGTCAAACAATACCAGCCGCGCCGTCCACCTGCGTCAAGTATACCTGCGACGCTACCACACTACCGTGTCCCTATCAATTCACGAGATTTTATACGCTTTTCAAGAATCAATGAAGCCAGTGAACGGCACCCAAGTCCTTTCTCGCCAGGCCGAGCCACAACCAGCGACGGGAAGCGGAATCCAGTCCGCAACTCGGCCGCTAGCTGTTGAACGAATAACGAGGGTGGCACGGTTGGCCGCTTAATCCCCTCTTCCGATTCCTTTCATCCCTGCATGGACCCATCCATGCCTAGATGGTCGGAGGATGAGGAATAGTGTGAATGAAGAGACCTGCTCAAGCTCTTAGCAGCAACTCAGCTCGCGGCAATCCTTCGCCCCCATCTGCAAACCTCAACCCTCTGCCCAATACCTCCATAACAAGCTAGGGGCAGGACAGCCCCTGTCTTGATCGATCTTTGAGGCCCACGGTTCGACGTTTAGCGCTATGTCCGTGTCCCGCATCAGCTTGAGGTTCCACCCTTTGCGACTGATTGATTGATACTGCCCGTAGGTTTCGGTCAAGACCAGATGAGTAGTCTAGGGGACAATGTTAGTTTGACAACGTGCAAGAACCTCCTCATCATGGAACTAGAGTCCAATGTTCTATTTCTCCCTATCCAATCCCTCTCATTTCAGTCATCAGTATTTGGGTCACAACAAACAATCCTTTCCTTTCCGCATTCCCGGCTTAAGGCTCTTCTTGTTGGGGCCCTTGCTCACCGGCTCCGGCTCCCTTGGCCCGTTGACCGGGTTCGTGTACGACCCGAGACCAACACGCACGATGAGAAATCCATCGGACCCTCACCCCCTTCTTTTTCCCTCATTTTTGCCTCTATCCGTTCTTGAGATTCGGGATTCCACGCTGCAGCAATTTACAATGTTCGGCAAGGGCGCCTGTTGGGAAACAGTCCTTCATCAGCGGACTAATAAGAAGCAAAAGGCGTAGAAATGGCTGTGCTCGTCGGTTGACGTTGAACGCGGCCATGGTTGGACACTTCGAGCCCGCTGGTCCAAGCGGCCTGTTCGGCGGGACTTTTTTTTTCTTTCTTTCCCCTTTGGCAATCACAGCCAACGCTCCATCTACCTGGTAGCTGCACCCCGGCGTTTCTCGGGGCTCGGGGGTAGCGGCACACCCTTCGTTACCTGCGACCCGTAGGGCACTTTTCCTTCATTTCGTTTGTCTCTGGAGTACGGAGTAGAGGAATTGGAGAATGGGTGTGCCACACACTATGCGTGTGCGCATGTTGGATCCGGACAAGCCAAAGAGACGCGGCTTGGCGTCTTCACGCGCAGAGCGTGAACAAACCCGCGAATCAGAAACGGATTTTTCGACCGCTTGTTGGTGTGGCCTTGTAAGCGAGCGTCCATACACCCATCCAAGCGCCGCCCTCATTATCGTCGTCATTGCTAGCTATGAGAGTTCCTTTGACCCCATGCGCCCACCAGGTTCGCCGTTCTATATTTCGTTGATGCGAGTACGATACGAAGACCCCAAACTGATTCGTAGATTACCTACAGAGTATGGGTGATGACTCGTGGGGCCTGAGTCGTTGTACTCGTCGATGTGATGAGACTGGGGTTCGAGAGGCGAGATGGAGAAGAGGAAGGGGCCCCGTCCGGAAGAGGATTCGAAGAAGACGCGTCTCGGGCGTACCCATGGTATCCACGATACCCATGAGCATCATCATGGGCCATGATCCATCCTGGAGATTCTCCCATCCTCTCCCTGTTCTTTAGAGGAAGAGGCAAAGCCGGTCTCCGTTCTTTTCATCATTGCTTGCTCCTCTTACATACTGGGCCCCCTCGTCCACTTATCCTGCCTTGCCTATCCGCATCACGAGGGAAGGAACAACAAGAATGTTGGAACAAGGAAGGCGTGAATGTTTGGATGAACGCCTTGGGTGCGGGTGGCGCCGCTGTCGCCCGCGCCGCTCGCCGGGCTACGAGTTTTCTTGTCGAGCGAGCTTTTCCCATTGCGTCTTGGTGCCAGTGTCTTTGTGATGTGACGTGTAATTTTTTGTTGCACGCCGCACCTATTCAGACCCCCATCTGCCTCTTTCCTTGCACGCGCCTAGAAACTTATCGAGAAGGGCTGAAATTAACAAGAAAGAGAGAGGGGCAGTAAGTACAGGGCTGGCCTACCAACCAACATCCTACATGACGATCCCGATCCCTCTCCAAAGGCCCAAAGGGAACAATTAGGTATTGAAATGATGACAAGGTGCAGATCCAAACCCGGCCGGGTTGGCTCCTCTTACCGTCACACCCTCTTTTCTTCTTCTCTGTCTTTTTTGCTGCCTGTCTTGCCCTGGGATGCCAATCTTCCCCATCCGTGCTCTTTCGGGGAATCCACACCCTGCTTTTTACTCAGCCATGACAGCTCCTGTGATGGGTGTAAGTGCGCAGCATCTCCGGGTCATGGGGTCGGTCGGAACTTGGAGCATTCGTGGGTGGGAAGGGCCAGCGCCGCAGCGGCAGCGGCAGCGGCAGCGGGGTCGGAAGGCAGGCAGAACTAGACAGGCATAGGCAACAGCAGCACAACACGAACGTACAACAAGTCGAAACGGGCAATGGCAGACAATTTCATCACGATCACAAGCTTCGAGGCGACGACGAAAGTGTCTCACAATCTCGTGACTGCAATGTACGTTATGCACCAACAAGTCACGAATCAAGCTCAGGGGGGGCGGCATCCTCTTGTGGTATCAGTCTGGTCCAATTTCATGAGGTGATTCAATCTGCGGCAACATAGAATAGGAAACAAGGGACTAATCATCCCCCCTCTCATCGCGAGATAATTCCAATCTGTGATTTTTGTGTGTGTTCCTCATCCTCTCAAGAAAAGGGGTTCCCAGGTATTGCATTGCTTCTTCGCTCTCTTCCGTCTTCCACACATCAAGCCACCAGGAGTCAATCCCCTTTTCTTGGTATCCCATCGTGCCAGTCCCCAACCGCCCCCTTGCTCTTACACCCCCTTGATCGCCTTATTGTACAAAAATCAGCTTTTTACATAATCCACCGCAAGCCCTTTTTGCTTCTTTTGAGTGATGTTTTTTTTTTTGGTGAATGTTGTGTTTGTGTATGAGGGTATGGTTGCTGTCCTTGCTTCTCCCCAAGTCTGGCCCCTCTATCGTCTTTGCGTGTAGCAATCTTGCTTTGTGTGATGTCGATTGTCTCTGAGAGCACTTCTATAAATGCAATATTCCTTATCCTCCACGCGAGAAGAGAAATAAAAAAGAGGCAAAATCTCAGTGACAGCCTGCGTCTGTAATGAGATGCGATGTTCCAATCGACCAGAACCAGTTAAGCCGTAGAATCATTAGTCGGCATATTAGGAAAGTGAAGGATAGTGGCGAACCGAGGACGCGATTGGATGCTTCTTCGTAACTCGACGCACTATTAGTTGCCGGAGCCGCCGGGTCCAGGTGTCCGGGGAGACCAAGAGGGGGACTAGGTTATGTTAGAGCTTGTTCAGAAAGATAAGTCAATTGAAGAATAGCTTACAGTCGGCGAATAGCTGGGGCTGGTCGGAGACTGCTGGGCTCCTG